GCTAGGTGTTACAGGGGTGACAGCTAGGTGTTACAGGTGTTACAGGGGTGACAGGTGTTGCAGGTGTTACAGGGGTGACAGGTGTTGCAGGTGTTACAGGGGTGACAGGTGTTGCAGGTGTTACAGGGGTGACAGGTGTTGCAGGTGTTACAGGGGTGACAGGTGTTACAGGGGTGACAGCTAGGTTTTTACAGGGGTGACAGGTGTTACAGGGGTGACAGCTAGGTTTTTACAGGGGTGACAGCTAGGTTTTTACAGGTGTTACAGGGCTGACAGGTGTTGCAGCTGTTACAGGGATGACAGGTGTTGCAGGTGTTACAGGGGTGACAGGTGTTGCAGGTGTTACAGGGGTGACAGGTGTTACAGGTGTTACAGGTGTTACAGGGGTGACAGGTGTTGCAGGTGTTCTCCCACACACACACCTGTCCGACCCATGTTGTCCTGGTCAGCAACTGGTGAGTCATGTTGACGTGACACCTGTGACATGAGTTATGTTGACGTGACACTTGTGACATGAGTCATGTTGACCTGACACCTGTGACATGAGTCATGCTGACATGACACCTGTGACATGAGTCATGTTGACCTGACACCTGTGACATGAGTCATGCTGACATGACACCTGTGACATGAGTCATGCTGACGTGACACCTGTGACATGAGTCATGTTGACCTGACACTTGTGACATGAGTCATGCTGACCTGACACCTGTGACATGAGTCATGTTGACCTGACACCTGTGACATGAGTCATGCTGACATGACACCTGTGACATGAGTCATGTTGACCTGACACCTGTGACATGAGTCACGTTGACCTGACACCTGTGACATGAGTCATGTTGACCTGACACCTGTGACATGAGTCATGTTGACCTGACACCTGTGACATGAGTCATGTTGACCTGACACTTGTGACATGAGTCATGCTGACCTGACACCTGTGACATGAGTCATGTTGACCTGACACCTGTGACATGAGTCACGTTGACATGACACCTGTGACATGAGTCATGTTGACCTGACACCTGTGACATGAGTCATGTTGACCTGACACCTGTGACATGAGTCATGTTGACCTGACACCTGTGACATGAGTCATGTTGACCTGACACTTGTGACATCAGTCATGCTGACCTGACACCTGTGACATGAGTCATGCTGACCTGACACCTGTGACATGAGTCATGTTGACCTGACACCTGTGACATGAGTCATGCTGACATGACACCTGTGACATGAGTCATGTTGACCTGACACCTGTGACATGAGTCACGTTGACCTGACACCTGTGACATGAGTCATGTTGACCTGACACCTGTGACATGAGTCATGTTGACCTGACACCTGTGACATGAGTCATGTTGACCTGACACTTGTGACATGAGTCATGCTGACCTGACACCTGTGACATGAGTCATGTTGACCTGACACCTGTGACATGAGTCACGTTGACCTGACACCTGTGACATGAGTCATGTTGACCTGACACCTGTGACATGAGTCATGTTGACCTGACACCTGTGACATGAGTCATGTTGACCTGACACCTGTGACATGAGTCATGCTGACCTGACACCTGTGACATGAGTCATGCTGACATGACACCTGTGACATGAGTCATGCTGACATGACACCTGTGACATGAGTCATGTTGACCTGACACCTGTGACATGAGTCATGTTGACCTGACACTTGTGACATGAGTCATGCTGACATGACACCTGTGACATGAGTCATGTTAACCTGACACCTGTGACATGAGTCATGCTGACATGACACCTGTGACATGAGTCATGCTGACATGACACCTGTGACATGAGTCATGCTGACCTGACACCTGTGACATGAGTCATGCTGACATGACACCTGTGACATGAGTCATGCTGACCTGACACCTGTGACATGAGTCATGTTGACCTGACACCTGTGACATGAGTCATGTTGACCTGACACTTGTGACATGAGTCATGCTGACATGACACCTGTGACATGAGTCATGTTGACCTGACACCTGTGACATGAGTCATGCTGACATGACACCTGTGACATGAGTCATGCTGACATGACACCTGTGACATGAGTCATGCTGACATGACACCTGTGACATGAGTCATGTTGACCTGACACCTGTGACATGAGTCATGCTGACATGACACCTGTGACATGAGTCATGCTGACATGACACCTGTGACATGAGTCATGTTGACCTGACACCTGTGACATGAGTCATGCTGACATGACACCTGTGACATGAGTCATGTTGACCTGACACCTGTGACATGAGTCATGTTTACATGACACCTGTGACATGAGTCATGCTGACATGACACCTGTGACATGAGTCATGTTGACATGACACCTGTGACATGAGTCACAGGGTTTAAACAGCCACCATCTTGTCCTAGAGGATTTTAGGTAATCAGTGACGTCACGCAGAAATTAATTGATGGAGTTAATACTTGATGATGGAGGAAGCTGGGGCACGAGCGCGCCAATCAGATGTCGCCTGAAGGCTATGAGCCAATCACATTAAGGCTGGTGATGACATCACAGAATTATGATGACGTCACCTCCTGGAGGAGTATGGAAGGCGGGACTTTGATCTGAGGAACTCTTCTCTACTACAGCCTCAGCCACCGCCAGAGCTGCGACCTCAGCCACCGCCACCGCCAGAGCTGCGACCTCAGCCTCAGCCACCACCAGAGCTGCGACCTCAGCCTCAGCCACCACCAGAGCTGCGACCTCAGCCTCAGCCACCGCCAGAGCTGCGACCTCAGCCTCAGCCACCACCAGAGCTGCGACCTCAGCCTCAGCCACCGCCAGAGCTGCGACCTCAGCCACCACCAGAGCTGCGACCTCAGCCACCACCAGAGCTGCGCCCTCAGCCACCGCCAGAGCTGCGACCTCAGCCTCAGCCACCGCCAGAGCTGCGACCTCAGCCTCAGCCACCACCAGAGCTGCGACCTCAGCCTCAGCCACCGCCAGAGCTGCGACCTCAGCCACCACCAGAGCTGCGACCTCAGCCACCACCAGAGCTGCGCCCTCAGCCACCGCCAGAGCTGCGACCTCAGCCTCAGCCACCGCCAGAGCTGCGACCTCAGCCTCAGCCACCGCCAGAGCTGCGACCTCAGCCTCAGCCACCACCAGAGCTGCGACCTCAGCCACCACCAGAGCTGCGACCTCAGCCTCAGCCACCACCAGAGCTGCGACCTCAGCCTCAGCCACCACCAGAGCTGCGACCTCAGCCTCAGCCACCGCCAGAGCTGCGACCTCAGCCTCAGCCACCGCCAGAGCTGCGACCTCAGCCTCAGCCACCACCAGAGCTGCGACCTCAGCCACCGCCAGAGCTGCGACCTCAGCCTCAGCCACCACCAGAGCTGCGACCTCAGCCACCGCCAGAGCTGCGACCTCAGCCACCGCCAGAGCTGCGACCTCAGCCTCAGCCACCGCCAGAGCTGCGACCTCAGCCTCAGCCACCGCCAGAGCTGCGACCTCAGCCTCAGCCACCACCAGAGCTGCGACCTCAGCCACCGCCAGAGCTGCGACCTCAGCCACCGCCAGAGCTGCGACCTCAGCCACCGCCAGAGCTGCGACCTCAGCCACCGCCAGAGCTGCGACCTCAGCCACCGCCAGAGCTGCGCCCTCAGCCACCGCCAGAGCTGCGACCTCAGCCTCAGCCACCGCCAGAGCTGCGACCTCAGCCTCAGCCACCGCCAGAGCTGCGACCTCAGCCTCAGCCACCGCCAGAGCTGCGACCTCAGCCTCAGCCACCGCCAGAGCTGCGACTTCAGCCACCGCCAGAGCTGCGACCTCAGCCTCAGCCACCGCCAGAGCTGCGACCTCAGCCACCACGTCTGCCCCTGTCATCACCACCTCTCCAGCGGCACCGGCAGATATCCTGTCTGCTGACGCCCTCCCTCTGACACCAGCTACAGCTCTGTACACCAGCTGCACCACAGACTACACCAGCTGTACCACAGACTACACCAGCTGTACCACAGACTACACCAGCTGTACCACAGACTACACCAGCTGTACCACAGACTACACCAGCTGTACCACAGACTACACCAGCTGTACCACAGACTACACCAGCTGTACCACAGACTACACCAGCTGTACCACAGACTACACCAGCTGTACCTGAGACTACACCAGCTGCACCACAGACTACACCAGCTGTACCACAGACTACACCAGCTGTACCACAGACTACACCAGCTGTACCACAGACTACACCAGCTGCACCACAGACTACACCAGGTGTACCACAGACTACACCAGCTGTACCACAGACTACACCAGCTGCACCACAGACTACACCAGCTGCACCACAGACTACACCAGCTGTACCACAGACTACACCAGCTGTACCACAGACTACACCAGCTGCACCACAGACTACACCAGCTGTACCACAGACTACACCAGCTGTACCACAGACTACATCCGCTGTACCACAGACTACACCAGCTGTACCACCTACACCAGCTGCACCACAGACTACACCAGCTGTACCACAGACTACACCAGCTGTACCACAGACTACACCAGCTGTACCACAGACTACACCAGCTGTACCACAGACTACACCAGCTGTACCACAGACTACACCAGCTGTACCACGGACTACACCAGCTGTACCACAGACTACACCAGCTGTACCACAGACTACACCAGCTGTACCACAGACTACACCAGCTGTACCACAGACTACACCAGCTGCACCACAGACTACACCAGCTGTACCACAGACTACACCAGCTGTACCACAGACTACACCAGCTGTACCACAGTCTACACCAGTCATCTCCACCAGTCATTAAACAAAATCTTCACCGTGGAGGAACTAGAGGTCGACCTCCGGGGTAGAGACGGCTCACTGGCCGTGTACTCGACAACAGCGGTGAAGAAGTCTTACAGAGTGAGCCAGAAGGAATTACCTGCATTATCCCCGACATAATTCTCGAGGAAGGTGATGAGTCAACACTAAGGACTAAACTTTTCTCTAAGGACTTCGTCGAGTACAAAAAAACGCCATAAATTGATGACCAGAAGCAAGAAGCAGTAGAAGAAAGAAGATAGAAGTAAGAAGACTCAAGAATGAAGGTAAAGAAGAAGAAGACTGATGGAAGAGGACACCATGTGAAGACTGTCAACACACAACATGAAGAAGCACTGCCACTGCCGCCGTCTGACCCGCCTCTCACCCTAGCCACATGTTGGGCTCTTGTCAGCATCAACTTAACACCCGCAGCTGGGCCAAGACCTGCCACTTTCTCTTCAACTTCAACATTTGCTCTCAATGACTTCTCTTCAGCTCTCCCTACTTCAAGGCTCGACCCATGGCCATTCGGGAAGCAACAGTGAGGATTGGTAGGTCGCAGCGCACACCGTTCTCCCGTTGCTAACGGGAGCCGTTAAGGCATCAACAGTTGATCCTATGTGTAGGCGATGACAAGGTGGCCTGGTGGTACTCGCTAACTGGTAGCGTAATGCTCTTTAAGAACACCGTCCGCGTCCCAGGAACACACACTAAATACCTCACAACACCACCAGTCCTTCACAAACTCGTAAACCTTCTTCAATTCTTAGTCTTTGTAAATTCTCAAGTCTTCTTTGGAACACTCAAGACTGTCTACAGTGACAATGTTGAGGTTGTCGGGAGCACTACCGACACAGTCGACAACACTGACAGTACCGACACAGTCGTCAACACTGACAGTACCGACACAGTCGTCAACACTGACAGTACCTACACAGTCGACAACACTGACAGTACCCACACAGTCGTCAACACTGACAGTACCTACACAGTCGACAACACTGACAGTACCGACACAGTCGTCAACACTGACAGTACCTACACAGTCGACAACACTGACAGTACCGACACAGTCGACAACACTGACAGTACCCACACAGTCGTCAACACTGACAGTACCGACACAGCCGGCAACACTGACAGTACCCACACAGTCGTCAACACTGACAGTACCGACACAGTCGTCAACACTGACAGTACCGACACAGTCGTCAACACTGACAATACCGACACAGTCGTCAACACTGACAGTACCGACACAGTCGTCAACACTGACAATACCGACACAGTCGTCAACACTGACAGTACCGACACAGTCGTCAACACTGACAGTACCGACACAGTCGTCAACACTGACAATACGGACACAGTCGTCAACACTGACAGTACCGACACAGTCGACAACACTGACAGTACCGACACAGTCGTCAACACTGACAGTACCCACACAGTCGACAACACTGACAGTACCGACACAGTCGTCAACACTGACAGTACCGACACAGTCGTCAACACTGACAATACGGACACAGTCGTCAACACTGACAGTACCGACACAGTCGACAACACTGACAGTACCGACACAGTCGTCAACACTGACAGTACCGACACAGTCGTCAACACTGACAGTACCGACACAGTCGTCAACACTGACAGTACCGACACAGTCGTCAACACTGACAGTACCCACACAGTCGTCAACACTGACAGTACCGACACAGTCGTCAACACTGACAGTACCGACACAGTCGTCAACACTGACAGTACCGACACAGTCGTCAACACTGACAGTACCGACACAGTCGACAACACTGACAGTACCGACACAGTCGTCAACACTGACAGTACCGACACAGTCGTCAACACTGACAATACCGACACAGTCGTCAACACGGACAGTACCGACACAGTCGTCAACACTGACAGTACCGACACAGTTGTCAACACTGACAATACCGACACAGTCGTCAACACTGACAGTACCGACACAGTCGTCAACACTCACAGTACCGACACAGTCGTCAACACTGACAGTACCGACACAGTCGTCAACACTGACAGTACCGACACAGTCGTCAACACTGACAGTACCCACACAGTCGTCAACACTGACAGTACCGACACAGTCGTCAACACTGACAGTACCGACACAGTCGTCAACACTGACAGTACCCACACAGTCGTCAACACTGACAGTACCGACACAGTCGTCAACACTGACAGTACCGACACAGTCGTCAACACTGACAGTACCGACACAGTCGTCAACACTGACAGTACCGACACAGTCGTCAACACTGACAGTACCGACACAGTCGTCAACACTGACAGTACCGACACAGTCGTCAACACTGACAGTACCGACACAGTCGTCAACACTGACAGTACCGACACAGTCGTCAACACTGACAGTACCGACACAGTCGTCAACACTGACAATACCCACACAGTCGTCAACACTGACAGTACCGACACAGTCGTCAACACTGACAGTACCCACACAGTCGTCAACACTGTGAGTACCGACACAGTCGTCAACACTGACAGTACCCACACAGTCGTCAACACTGTGAGTACCGACACAGTCGTCAACACTGACAGTACCGACACAGTCGTCAACACTGACAGTACCCACACAGTCGTCAACACTGACAGTACCGACACAGTCGTCAACACTGACAGTACCCACACAGTCGTCAACACTGACAGTACCCACACAGTCGTCAACACTGACAGTACCGACACAGTCGTCAACACTGACAGTACCCACACAGTCGTCAACACTGACAGTACCGACACAGTCGTCAACACTGACAGTACCCACACAGTCGTCAACACTGACAGTACCGACACAGTCGACAACACTGACAGTACCGACACAGTCGTCAACACTGACAGTACCCACACAGTCGTCAACACTGACAGTACCCACACAGTCGTCAACACTGACAGTACCGACACAGTCGTCAACACTGACAGTACCGACACAGTCGTCAACACTGACAGTACCCACACAGTCGTCAACACTGACAGTACCCACACAGTCGTCAACACTGACAGTACCGACACAGTCGTCAACACTGACAGTACCGACACAGTCGTCAACACTGACAGTACCCACACAGTCGTCAACACTGACAGTACCGACACAGTCGTCAACACTGACAGTACCGACACAGTCGTCAACACTGACAATACCCACACAGTCGTCAACACTGACAGTACCGACACAGTCGTCAACACTGACAGTACCAACACAGTCGTCAACACTGACAGTACCGACACAGTCGTCAACACTGACAGTACCCACACAGTCGTCAACACTGACAGTACCGACACAGCCGACAACACTGACAGTACCGACACAGCCGACAACACTGACAGTACCGACACAGCCGTCAACACTGACAGTACCTCACCAGACTGAGGGACGCGTCCTTGTGAGACAAATGCTCCCATGAACCTCTCAGCCAGACACTGGAGAGTGTCACCCGGCCGACACCGTCACTCCGACACCGACACACGCAGGTCACCAGCTCCAGCACAGGAGCGTGGTGTCAGGTGCAGGGGAACAGGTGCCACACTGAGCCAAGCAGGCCAGGCACTCCAGGCTGGAACAGGTGCCACACTGAGCCAAGCAGGCCAGGCACTCCAGGCTGGAACAGGTGCCACACTGAGCCAAGCAGGCCAGGCACTCCAGGCTGGAACAGGTGCCACACTGAGCCAAGCAGGCCAGGCACTCCAGGCTGGAACAGGTGCCACACTGAGCCAAGCAGGCCAGGCACTCCAGGCTGGAACAGGTGCCACACTGAGCCAAGCAGGCCAGGCACTCCAGGCTGGAACAGGTGCCACACTGAGCCAAGCAGGCCAGGCACTCCAGGCTGGAACAGGTGCCACACTGAGCCAAGCAGGCCAGGCACTCCAGGCTGGAACAGGTGCCACACTGAGCCAAGCAGGCCAGGCACTCCAGGCTGGAACAGGTGCCACACTGAGCCAAGCAGGCCAGGCACTCCAGGCTGGAACAGGTGCCACACTGAGCCAAGTAGGCCAGGCACTCCAGGCTGGAACAGGTGCCACACTGAGCCAAGCAGGCCAGGC